TCCTCCTCCTCCTCCTCCTCCTCCTCCTCCTCCTCCTCCTCGTGTCCCTCTACGGGAGGAAAATTCCAAAATAGTCAAAAAATAGGCTGGCTACGAGGCTTTCAAGATCTGCTTCTGATGTGTTTATAAACATGCTCTGCAATGTTCTGACAATCTTTGATCTGTCGCCCAAGATCCGCCTGTAGGAGGACACGCCCGACCCAACACAACGAGCGGAGGTGGAGGCCCCCCCGTCCCCGGGGAGTGCCCGCGGCGAGCGGCGCCTCGCCCGTGGCAGCCGTCCGTTGTCTCGGGCGGCTCGCTTCCTCGGTCGGCCTGCCCGCTCTGGCGGCGCATCTCGGACGAGGCCGACGTCGGCGAGGCCCTCTGCGCGGGGAGAAATCGGGCATCTCCCCCTCCTCCTCATCCCCCCCCCTTCCCCCTGGATCCTCCCCTCTCAGACCCCCTCGCGTCTTGAAGCAGGCCTCACGACGGAGGGCCTTTCGCTACGTTCGGCCCCCAGGGGCCCTCACCGGGCCTGGGGGCCGCGAAAAGACGACTCGGGACAAAGGCCCGTCCCCAGGAAGGGGTCCAGACCTCTGGGAGCCCACGTCGTGAAAGCTGTCCTGGCGAAGGACCCGACCATATGCAATTGCGCGTACCGCAAGGCAGGTGGGGGGAAGCTCGCTATGGGGCCACGAAAAATGAGGACGTGCCGAAATAATACGCGAGGAGTCGCATGTGGACCCTGTCACTGAAGCCTCAGGTGGAGCTCCTTTTGGGCCACTGAACGTGTGAGAAGTGTGCCGAAATGACTCCCTGTGGGTACACGAGGCGCGTGAGGGGTGCGCCGAAATTTGGTGGCGCTGCCATGCGAACTTTGCCCATGGAGCCGCCGGTGGAGCTCCCTGTGGGGCCACGAGACGTGTTGGGCGGTGCCGCCATGCGTGCGCTGCCACTGGGGCCTTCGGTAGAGCTCCCTATGGGGCCACGAAACGTGTGAGGGGTGCGCCACCATAGGGCAGGGCCGCACCGCGCACTTTGCCACTGAGGCCTTCGGGGGAGCTCCTTGTGGGGCCACGAGACGTGCGAGGGATGCGCTGGAATGGGGCGAGGCTACCATGCGAACTTGACCCATGGAGCCGCCAGTGGAGCTTCCTGTGAGGCCACGAGACGTGTGAGGGGTGCGCCGCGGTGAAGCCATGCGTGCGCTGCCACTGGAGCCTTTGGTGGAGCTCCCTATGGGGCCACGAAACGTGTGAGGGGTGCGCCGACATGAAGCGGGGCCGCCATGCAAATTGTGCCATTGCGGCCATCGGTGGAGCTCCTTGTGGGGCCAAGAAACGAGTGAGCGGTGCGCCAACATGGGGCGGGCCGCCATGCGAACTTTGCCACTGGGGCCTTCGGTGGAGCCCTTTGTGGGGCCACGAAACGTGTGAGGTGTGCGCCGAAGTGGGGCGGGGCCGCCATGCGAACTTTGCCACTGGGGCCCTCGGTCAAGCTCCCTATGGGGCCACGAAGCGTGTGAGTGGTGCACCGAAACAGATATATGAGGAGGGCAGAGGCAAGGGAGACAGGAGGGAGGACGGGAGGAGGGGAGGAGAGGAGGTGGGACGCGGGGCGCGGTCTTTTCAAAACGAGGACCCACCACCACAGGATGGTTGGGAAAAACACGATGCCGGGGGTCTGGGCCTCTGATCCTCCCCCCTCCTCACCCTCCTCGTCCTCTTCCCTCCCCCCCCACACCTGTTCCCACTCCTCGTCGCCACCGTCGCACGCCATCGCCACCACCGGCACGGCGAGAGGAGGTCCACATTGCCGCCCCGCGTGGAGTCCTTGCGTCCGCGCAGGGCCCGCGCTGCAGCCGCCACCGGTCGAGCACTCTCTGCGCCCCCCGGGCAGCGCACGGAGCATGCCCTCCGCCGGTGCGGCTGCAGCAGCAGCGCGCGAATGCCAGGGAGGCAGGCCCGAGGCAGCTGACGTATCTCGGCGGCGCGCACAGTGCGGTGGTGCGAGGTGGGGGGCCTTCTAGGAAAGGCGGCAGGGGGGGGGCTGCTTAGAAGGAGCGGGGCCTTCCTGGAGGCGCCCGGAGGCTTCTCAGAAGGCGTCTTGGAAGCCTCTGGGCGCTCCAAAGCAGGGCTGGCCCTCTGAGAAGCCCCCTCTGCCTCCTTAGCAGGCCCCCCCCCCCCCAGGCGCCACCCCCGCGCACGCGCCGCCAACTGTCGCCGCTTCGGATTTCCGATCGCCGGTGTTCCTCCTGCTCTCGGCCTGTCGCGGGCGCGCAGCCGTGCTCGGAGGCCTCGCTTTAAGGCGGGCACGTCGTTCTATAGGAGGCAAATTCAAAAATAGTCAAAAAAATAGCTTGGGGACGATGTTTTGACTGCTTTTGAGCTTCGGGTTTTTTTTGTTCGTCCAAGCTCCGCCTGTAAGGGGACACGCCCGACCTCATGCGTTCGGCCTGCCGCGGGCGCGCAGCCGTGCTCGGAGGCCGCGCAGCCGTGCTCGGAGGCCTCGCTCCGCGGTACTCCGAGCCTGCCGCCTGCCCGCGCGGCGCCGCGGAGGAGGCGCAGGCGGCCGAGCCGCCGGAGCCCGCGGCGGCCCCCCTGGCGGAGAGACGTTCCAGCACTCTGCGGCTCCCGCGATCCCGACGCAGAAAGTCAAGCCCAGTTTTCAGTCGGGCCTGTCCCTCTGCAGGAGGAGTCTTCCGAAATGATCCGGGCGAAGGGCCCCACCGTACGCAGGGGTGAGAACCGCAGGGCAGCGGGGACGAAACATGGAGAATTCCCCGTGGGGCCACGGACCGCGTGAGAGGTGCGCCGAAATGGGGCGGGGCCGCCATGCGAACCCTGCCACTAGGCCTTCGGTGGAGCCCCCTATGGGGCCACGAACCGTGTGAGGGGTGCGCCAAAATGGGGCGGGGCCGCCATGCAAACCCTGCCATTGGGGCCTTCGGTGGAGCCCCCTCATGGGGCCACGAACCGTGTGACGGGTGCGCCAAAATGGAGCGGGGCCGCCATGCGAACCTTGCCACCAGGGCCTTTGGTGGAGCTCCCTATGGGGCCACGAACCGTGTGAGGGGTGCGCAGAACGCGGGGCCGCCATGCGAACCCTGCCACTGGGGCCCTCGGTCAAGCTCCCTATGGGGCCACGAAACGCTGTACTGGGTGAGTAAAAAGCAGGGAGGAAGGAGGAGGGGGAGGAGGGAGGAGGGGGAGGAGGGAGGAGGGGGAGGGAGGAGGGCAGGAGGAGAGGAGAGGAACGCGGGGCAACGTCTCTTCAAAACGAGGACCCAATACCACATGATGGTTGAGAAATAGTCCAAACAAATAGTATGGGGATTACTTTTTGATGTTTTGGAGTATGTTTGACTATTTCAATTTTTTCGCCCAAGAATCTGCCTGTGGGGGGACAGGCCGACTTAAAGTTAGAGACAGGTGCTTCTGCTGCGTCCCGGGATGCTGCCTAGTTTTGCGGCAAGGATCCCCTTGTTGGCTTCACGGCAGCAGCTCGCCAGCTCAAGTCGGACAGGGACAGGTGCGAGTCGATGAACCCAGCCTCTCATGTCAGCACTCCCGACGGCAGCGAGGGCGAAGCCTCCAGCACCGCACAGGAGATGAACGATGATGCTGTCGACTCTGGCCAGGCGGTGGTGTCTCCTGCTGTCGTCGGGAGGGGCAGCGTCATCACCGTTGGGCTCAACGAGCACCCAGTGTCAGTGGCCATTCGGGCTCGCCTGCATCAACGGGATAATTTTCGCGAGTCTGAGAGGAGAGGGAAAGAGAGAGAGAGAGAGATATACATATAGAGAGAGGGAAACAAAAACAAAACAAAAAAATGAGGGGGAGGTAAGGCATCCACTCTCCCTTTCGCTCGCGCTGTCGCTTGGCGGCCCCGCCCCACGTGCTGCAATAAAAATCCCTGCGCGTGTGCCCCAGCTCTGGTTTCCTGCATGCCCTGGAGTGCCGCGAGCCCGAACGCAGTAACGTCTTCCCGCGCCGCCTCCCGCTTCCCGCCACAAGACAGGGTCGTACATATGCCCTGCCAGCCAGTCACCATCTGCATTGTACTTCCTCGGGGGGGCAAGGACGACATGGACGAGGGACGGGAGAGGAGGAGGGGGAGGAGGCGGAGGCGAGATGAGGAGAAGGCGCACGGGAGTGGGAGAGAGCAGGGGCAAGGAGGAACGAGCGAGGGTGCAGGATGCAGAAGGCAGTGGAAGAAGGAGAAGAGGAGCAGGAGGAGGAGGAGGACGACGACGACACGACGCCGACAAGGTGAGGAAGGCAGAGGCAGATGGCAAGGGCACAAACAATGCCGAGATTGAGGGGGGGGAGAAGAGGAGGTCGAGGAGGAGGAAGAAGCAGGGGATCTGGAACAGAGGGTACATGAAGAGGCTTAGGGCAAAGGACAAGTGGAGGGGGGCAGAGGAGGCGGGGAGGAGTAGGCACATGGGGAAGGAGAAGGGAGGAGGGAGGGACTGGCGAAGAGAAGGGCAGGGAGGCAGAGGGGAGGGGAAGAGGAGCAGGTGAGGGTAAGGAGGAGGAGGAGGAGAGGAAAGAACGAGCAGGAGGAGAAGAAGGAGGAGAAAGAATGGTGGAGACGACGACAGCTACCACGACGACGACGACGACGACGACGACGACGACGACGACGACGACGACGACGACGACGGCGGCGGCGGCGGCGGCGGCGGCGGCGGCGGCGGCGGCGGGGGCGACGACGACGACGACGACGGCGGCGGCGGCGGCGGCCGCCGTGGCGGCGGCTGGCCTTGGACCTCCGCCACTGCCCAGGACTGGCTCGACGAGGTGCGCCGCGCGCGCCGGCAGGAGATGCGGGATCCTGGCAGCGGCCGGGCCACCCACCTCCTCGCCCCTCTTCCTGTCACCCCTCCTCCTCCTCCTCCTCCTCCTCCTCCTCCTTCTCCTCTTCCTCCTCCGCCATTCCCTGCTTCTCACTTTTGCGGTCGCAGCGATGTGGTGGGCACCACTCGGTCAAACCATAGAGCGGGGTCTTTTTTTCACGCGCGCAGAGAGAGAGAGAGAGAGAGAGCGGCGGTCACCGCGGTCGTCGGGTGCACGTATACGCGAGGACGCCTGCGTCCACAGGTCTCCTTCTCCTCCTCGCCCATGGTCCTCCCGCCTCCCTCGTCATCATCACCACCATCATCATCATCATCATCATCATCAGATTCATCGGCACCGCCACCACCATCATCAGCATCATTATCATCATCATCAGCAGCATCATCATCATCATCATCATCACCATCATCATCCTCAGCATCATCATCATCACCATAGTAGTCGGTAACAACAGCAGCAGCATCAACAACATCATCAGCATCATCGCCCTCGCCGTCACCATCACTATCCTCGGCACCACCATCATCAGCAGCATCATCATCAGCAGCAACGTCATCATCATCATCATCATCACCATCATCATCATCATCATCATCATCATCGGACCTCGTGCCAGGCCGGGTGAATGGCAAGTTCTGCAGCAGTTAGTGGAGCAACACGCCGAGGCGCACAGGGACCTCTGGGGCACCGTCAAGAGCCTTAACAGATCTAAAGCACGCAAGCAAGTACCCGCCTGGTCGATTCCGAGGGAAGTCTGGCTTATGGGTTTTCGACACCGAGATGTTGATCAAGGTTTTCTTCGAGAGGGACCCTTTCATAATCTGGTTCTGCAGTTTTTTCTGGCTATCCGAAGGACCCGAGAGACCCCAACCATCTGGCATGTGAGCGAAGCCTGCCCCATCCCCAAGGGAAATGGAAAAACTAAATGCAAAGCGGAACGGATCATCCACCTCCTGGATCCTGTAGGCAAGTCTTACCACGGTGCTCTTTGGGCTCGACGTAATGTTCACAATTATCACAACTCAACGGGTTTTAAGACTGGACGTAGGCGGGAGCAGTCTATTTTGCAGATGCGCTGTATGCAGTGGCGCCTCTCCCAGCTCGGCCGTAGTTGGATTGAACCGTTCTACGACATGGCTAACGCCTTCGCCTCCGTCTCCCACCAGGCCCTCGACAGTGTGATCGATGCCGCGCTCGACGTCGACTCGGCACACATCGTTAAACATCGACATCGACGAGCGATGACATATCTCGGTTCAAACAGTGGGGAGTGGGCTCTCTTGGATCTGGGGTGCGGGGACCTCCAGGGCGACGCCGCGGTTCCGTCTCGTTTCACATGTGTGTACGACCCCCGCATCCAGACCTGGATCGAAATCACGGAGGAGCAGGAGGAGTTTCAGTTTTTTCGAGTTCGTGAACCCGTCACAGGTGAAACGGTCAATGTCTCTTTTACCACTTTTGCCGACGACATGACTAGGATCGGGCTTTTGCATGGTGATTCTCAGGCACAGCTGGCGTCTGACAAGATGCAGGCCTGGGATGATGGCCTCAAGTAGGTGGTCACGGACACCACCGAGCTTGACCAGAATGGAGATAAGAAGGAGATTTTATTTCGATGCCATGGTCGTGGCTCTGCTGAACAGATGCAGGACTTCTACCATCAGCGTGGCTCTATTAGGTATAAGGGTACGGCTAAACAATGGGTTAGACACTTGGGGGGCTGGCACAATCTAGACGGGTGGACTTACTATGAGACAGATCAGAGATTGACGGCGGCTCGCATTGGGTGGTGTGCTCTGGGACGTTTTTGGACTTCCAAGGCTAGGAGGAGGATAAAACGCTTGGTTTATCAGAGTATGGTACGTGGGGCTATGCTTTCTGGGGGAGAGGCTCGGCTTTGGACTCGCAAGGATTTTGATGTGCTAGATCGTTTTGACCAGTCCCATCTACGAGTTTTACTCCAGGGTGCTAGTTGTGAACGCGAGGAGGTGGGAGGAGGGGTAGAACAAGTACGTACCTGGACTAATGAACGAGTTAGGGAAGAACTTCGTTTACCTACTTTGGAGAGTACTGTGCGTTTTCGACGGTTGCAATGGCTCTGGAAGATTGCCCCGGAGGCTCAGAACAACCTTTGTTTGCTGGCAGCGCTGACGGGTGCTCTCGGCGGCGAGGATCGCGGCCAGCTTACCTCATCAGGTCGCCCACGCCACGGTTGTAATCCATATCTTCGTGAATTCTGTCATGACCTTGATGTTCAGGGTCGAGTGCAGCCTCGCGTGCGCGAGGTGCTCCAGGAGAAAGGTTGGTTTGCTCTCTTTCTGCCAGAGAATACATCACTCCTTCGCCCCGATCGTGATCTCTTATGCTATATACGACCGCATGAACATGATAGGTTACACAATCCACCAGCTCTTCAAAATCGCAGTTTCGGAGATTTTCCGTGTGACGGCGTTTTCGACGACGGCACGGTCTGTACCCAGGTATTTCAATCCCGACGGGCCCTTCAGTGTCATAAACGACGAGCTCATCAAATCTTCGTGCCGCATCGGATCGCAGTGTTTTCAAATCAATGCAGTTGGTGTTTCAGAACGTTCAGTTCGCTCGACTCGCTTCGTCATCATGTCGAAGTCCGCGTTAAACGCCACGAATGTCCCAAACAGCGTGGAGGGAGTGCTTCAGCAGGTCTCGTGGGGCTCCAGCAACCAGCGCCGCTCGTGTCCCCTTTTGGGGAATATGAGGCCTCCAGTGTCCCTCTACTCCACGAACACGTTCGTAAGCATTTTGTGGTTCGAGCTGATCGTGAGGTTTTTCAAAGTCTTCCTGAGCGTGACGCCCCCGTCGTACCTGCCCTCGCCGATCTTCCAGATGGATCAGCTCCAGAGGCGCCTGGGTCAGGGCGCCGCGGGGCAGCCAGCAGCCGGCGACGGTCGCGCAGCCGCGCGGCGCGCGGTCGGAGGCAACTTCGACGAGGAGTATCGCTCCCTGGTGGTGAACACGGCGAAGACCGTCGTGGGGCTCGACCTGATGTCTCGTCGGTTTGCGGGATGTCTTACTCTCGCGGCTCTTGTGAAGGGTGCGCACACGCAGCTGATCGCCATGCGCGAAGCGGGCGTGACCTACGAGGAAGCGAAGACGCAGTACAAGCAAGCGGGGAATCAAGAGCAGCTGGCACAGCTCAAGTGGGCGCATCTCCACGTGTGGGTCGGCCTGTGCATGTCGATCGTGAACGACGCGACGATCCCCGCGGAGGCGAAGGCGAACGTGCTGGCCCACTCCCAAGCCGTGACAGGTGTGGGAGACATCGAGGACAAAGCTATCGTATGTTACCAGAAGAAGGCCTTCCGCCAGGCCAACTGGCAGGAGGACATGTATCGCATCGAGCTCTTCACGACTCCCGAGCTTCGAGCAGTGGCGCTCGAGATCCAGGCGTGCATCTTGAGGGCTGCAGGCAGTATCAAAAAGCAGGCAGTCCACCCAAAGGCCCCAACGTGCGGAAGGTCATTCAGAGCTTGGTGAACCTCGGGGAGTACCAGGCGCAGCCTGCCGAGCGGGGGTGACGCGAGGACGAGTGAGGCCACTTTCTGAGCGCTTTCGCGCGAGCTCCGCAGGCGGTGTAGAAACTCCAGGGTTTTTTTTTCTCGGGCCTCTCCTCCTCCTCCTCCTCCTGAGACCTCTCTCGCTTCTGAGCCTAGGGAGGTTTCCGTGGTCCGAGTGCTTTCGGAGTCTGGGCAGTCTCGGTTTTTGCGGGCAATCTAGGATAGTCACTGGCGTGAGCGGCGCCTTGAAGTCAGTCTTCGAGGGCCTCGAGTACCTTTCCCCTCCTGGAGCTTCTTGGCCCTATAGGAGGGGCTGTGCTCAGGGGGCCAGTGCCATAGAGTGCCGAATCCATGGATTGTGCTCTTGCTCGCGTGGTGAGTTAAGACACAGTTGTTCTTTTGGCCGAGAAGGGTAAATGCCCACAGACCCGAGTTCCAGGTTTTTCAGCGTTCTACTGCCTTGACCTTCTGCTGGCCAGGGAGCTCACACGGGGGATGAATGAATGAATGAATCATCATCATCATCATCATCATCGTCGGCATCCTCATCGTCATCATCGTCGTCATCATCGTTTTCACCATCATCGTCGTCATCATCGTCGTCGCCGTCGTCATCATCAGCATCATCGTCGACCGCATCGTCGTCGTCACAATCATCAACAATAACATCATCAGCATCATGATCTCCCTCGCCATTACCATCACTATCCTCATCACTATCCTCGCCATCACCATCACTATCATTATATCCCTTGCCATCACCGTCACCATCACTTTCCTCGGCACCACCACCATCATCATCATCAGCATCAGCATCATCATCAGCAGCATCATCACCATCATCATCATTATCATCATCATCGTCATCGTCGTCGTCATCGTCATCGTCATCGTCACCATCATCGTCGTCGCCGTCGTCGCCGTCATCATCGTCAGCATCATCGTCGTCGTCGCCGTCGTCATCACCATCATCATCAACATCATCAGCATCATGATATCTCTCGCCATAACCATCACTATCCTCAGCACCATCATCATCAGCAGTATCATATCAGCACCATCATCATCATCATCATCATAAGAATCATCATCATCACCGTCATCGTCATCATCGTCATCATCGTCATCATCATCGTCGTCATCATCGTCGTCGCCGTCGTTATCCTCATCAGCATCATCGTCGTCATCGTCGCCGCCGTCGTAGCCGTCGTCGTCGTCATCATCATCATCACCACCCTCGCCATGACCATCAGCACCATCACCACCACCATAATCATCAGAATCATCATCACCATCATCATCGTCATCATCATCACCATGAGGCCCAGGCCACGGGCGACTCGAAGAACGCGCACCGCAGGTCTATCGCTGATCTCCCGGCGTCCGGGGACCCGATTCGGGTTTCCAGGCTTCGGGGTTTCGAGAGACAACCCCAGGCGAAAAAAACAAATTGTGGGTCAAGGGTTCGGGGGACAGTATTTTGAAGAATTTGCGTCGGCGGAGGTTTGGGCCATCATCATCATTTCCATCGTAATCCCTCTTTGGTATCCTCCTCCCCCCATCCTCCCTCATCTCCATCACCCCCATATCCTCCTCGTCTTCGCATCCTCCCCCATCCGCCCCGCCCTGTTCTCGTTCAGCACGCTCCGAGGCCCAAGGCCAGTCCATGATCGGCGCATTGAAAGCGATGTAAAACCTGGCAGCAGGACACCAATTGCAGAGGGGAAGGTACGCGGACGTCGCTACACCCACGTGACCCGTCACTGAGCACTGTTTTTTCCCTCGGCCCTCCAGGCAATGCCGCGTCGCCCAGAGGCGGGCGCGCATCAAGGCAGAGTCACCAGAACGCCGAGCAGCGACGAATCCACAGTCTCGATAACCAGCGGACTACTCGCCACGCTCAACCGTGCGAGAAAGATGCCATGTGGGCCTGGGCCTGGGCGGGGGCCAAGTCAGGGCCAAAGTGTTACGAGCTTCAGATCCCCAGAGAGGTATCCAGCTCTGAAACAGGACGCGAAGTCCTTGCCCACAGTGCCTCCCCCCCTAGTTGGGAGCAGAGGCAGAGGCAGACGGGATGGGAGCGGAGGCAGCTGTCACAACTGGTACCAGTGCATTGGAAGCGTGCTTGTGGGGCGTGGCCTTCGTGGCAGCCCTACTCGACGCCCCCAGGACAGCAGAGGATTGTGCAGCATGTCGGGAGGTTGTTTTGGATGTGCAATATCTCAACGTAGTACGCCTTGCTAACCTTGTGAGGTAGTCGCATGCAGCAAGTGATGAGCATGTCGCGACGGGCATGCGCAGAGAGCCTCCTACACACGAAAAAACAGACGCTGCGTATACTGCGGCAAACAGGAAACAGGTAACAGTGCCCCCACCCCCCGCCCGTCCGATGTCCTGGCGCGCCCCCCAACGGGGCCGTCCGCGACAGTCTGGCCGCCAACCGCGGGCGCTCAAAGGACCCCGTGGTTCGCGCTGCAGCACCAGCCCTGACACCGAAAAACTGGCCGGGGCACGCAGTGTCGCGACGAGGGGCCCACAAGGGCCCCCGACCCAGGGGGTAAAACCGCCGACCCTTCGGGCCCCCTCGGGAGGAGAAGGAGGAGGAGGAGGCGAATGAAGAGGAGGCGCGTGGGCCCAGCTTGCCCGCGAACCATCCCAAGAAGCCCCGACGAGAGTCTTCGTTGTGATGAAGACGCAGCCATGCATGCTGATTTCCACCCTTCAGATTTTAACCCGTGCGTTGCGCGCCTCAACATGGTTCAGGTCCTTCCCCGCTGGTTGTGCCCTGGGATGCCCAGCCCGAGGTGATGAGGATCTAGATCCAGTCGAACATTACACTTGCTGCCCTCGGCTTGCAGGTCTATTTGGGTACCGGTTTGGTTCTCTCTGTCTGTCGTCTTCATCGTTTCCCGAGGGCTCGCCCTGGTTCCTCCACTTCCTCCTGCTGACACGATCACCGCTGACGTCCAATGTTCAACTTGCTGCCTATATTGATGCTTCCACGTCCCTCCACAAGTGTAGACGCCTGATCGTCCCTGGCAAACCAGCTCAGCTGTTCAAGGCTCGACTCAGAGTCAAAGCCAGGCGTCATCGTGCTTTGGCGCTTAGATGGCACCAGCACGCTGTTGCGCGGTTCCCCCTTTGTCCCTTACCCTCCTTCGTGTGCAAGATGGTGCGACGCCAGTGCGAGCAAATGATGACGACGACGACGCCCCGCCTGTCCCGCCCGCCCCCGCCAGCCCGTCCCGACCGCCTGTCTTACCCGCTCGCTTTATCCCGCCCGACCCGCCCACCCGACCCGCCGTCGTCGTTTGCTGGCGGTGAGTAAGGAGAGGGGGGGAGGTCGCAACCTCCTTCCCCCTCGTCGACGAGGGGAGGTCGTAGCCTCCCTCCCTCTTCCCTGGAGGGAAGAGGGGTGGTGGTGGGGAAGTTTAAGAGGTTGGTCCCTTTTGTTTATGGATGTATTGTTTGTCCCCTGGATGGGCGGGAGTGGGGAGGGTCGGAGACTCCTTTCGGAGGGCGAGGGAGGTTTTCCAAGGCAAGCTAGCTTGAGACACGCTTTCTCCAAGGTAGGGAGGGCGGAGAAAGGAGGGGGGAAGCGAGGGGGCGGGTGCAGGGAATGCCACCTGGTCTCGTGCGCTGTTCCGAAGGAGCGCAGCGAAGGAGAGCAGGAGGAGGAGGAGGAGGAGGAGGAAGGAGAGGAGGAGGAGGAGAGGAGAGGGAGAGGAGGAAGGAGGTGAGGAGGGGAGGAGGAGGAGGAAGAGGAGGAGGAGGAAGGGGGGTGAGGAGGATGAGGAGGAGGAGAGGAAGGAAGGCGGAGGAGGAGAGGGAGGGGGGGCGGAGGGGACGGGACGGGACGCGACCCGGACACCTGACGTCGCGATTCCTTGACAGCGTGGCTCCCCAGAGGTCTGGTCCCTTTGTTGGGGACCCGCTTTTCATCCTGGGTCGTTGTTTTGACCGTCCTGGGGGGGCCGCAAATGGCCAGAGACCTTCCGCCGTGATCTTCTTCTCGACGTGGGGACGTCTCAGAGGGAGAGGAGTGGGGGATGGAGGAGGAGCGGGGTGGGGGATGTCAGAGGGAGAGGTTGTCAGAGGGAGAGGAGCGGGGGTGGGGGACGTCGACCCCCGCGGCCCCGCAGGAGAGGCGCGCGGAGGGGCGCTGCGTGTGCGCGTAGCGGGCCGCCACACGCCGCGATCCCCCGCGCCGCACGGCGGGAGCGCCCCTGCCTGCAGCGAGGCGAGGGCCTCCGGCCGAAGTCCCGCGCCCGCGCCTGCGCCCGCCACGGAGGAGAAGTGGGAGTCCTCCCCCTCCTCCTCCTCCTCCTCCTCCTCCTCCGCCTCCGCCTCCGCCTCCACATCCTCCTCCTCCTCCTCCCCCTCCTCCTCCTCCTTCCTCCATCCTCCTCCTCCTCCTCCTCCTGCCTCCTCCTCCTCTCCACCTCCTCCTCCTCCTCTCCTCCTCCTCCTCCTCCTCTTCCTCCTCCTCCTCCTCCCTCCTCCTCCTCTCTCCTCCTCCTCCTCCTCCTCCTCCTCCGCCTCCTCCTCCTCCTCCTCCTCCTCTCCTCTCCTCCTCCTCTCTCCTCCCTCCTCCTCTCCTCCCTCCTCCTCCTCCTCCTCCTCCTCCTCCTCCTCCTCCTCCTCCTCCTCCTCCTCCTCCTCCTCCTCCTCCTCCTCCTCATACCCCTCCCCCTCCTCCTGCTCATGCTCCCCAAACCAGGTGGTGAATATCAGGTGGGGGTGCTGGTTAAAGAACGTGCCCAGAAAGCTTCAGACCTTGGGGGGTCCTTATCTCATAAGGGTGGCGGTGATGTCCATTGCCCCAGTCCAAGATCGGAGCCCCACTGGCTTCCGGACCCTGGGTTCCTTGTTCAATGGTTGCTTATCCAACGCCCTCACCGTATCAGGTGGCGACCTCGAATCCCCCAAAAGTCACCGCCAGGTTTTGGAACACGGGTTCACAGCTGGGACATTAGCGTTCGGGACATCTTCGAAGAGCCACACAAGTCCCCAAACCGAGTTTCACCGCCGGGTGTTGTTACCACGGTATTTGGGGATTACCAAGACGAGGGTCCTGACACGGTTGGGGACGTGTCCTTATCATTTCGCGCCGCCAGGTCTGGCCCACCACGCGTCGCACGGCACGCTAACCGTACCCCAGTTCGCAGGCATCAGCGTACCGAGCTGTGCCACGGTGCGGAGCGACGCGCAATCGGTTCGCAGGGCATCGCGTGTCGCCGGGGCCGCCGCCGCAGCACGCTGAGCAGCAGTTTTTGACCGCAAGACGCGCCAACAGGGGGGGCGGGGACTGGCCTGGGAGAGGAAACATCGACCCGAAACCGCCCATCGGGGCACGGTTCCCCCACCCGCGCGGGAGAACGTGCGTTTTTGCCGTTGGGAGCTCATCGCCGATCTGCCGGCGACTTGGCATCGCTCGGACGCGTGCATTTCTCCTCGGCGAGGACCATCGAGGAGCGTCCTGCATCGTCTTGCAAGAAAGGCGCGCACGAAACCGAAACATGCACGGGGACGGGACATCCGAGCGATGGCGAGGCGATGCATAGCCGATTTCGGGCCCCTGGAGCAAGTCACCCCCCCGCCCCTCCCACCCCCTGTAGAGGTAAGATTTTTTCCGACCCGAACAAATGCATCGCCACGAGTAGGAGGAGGAGGGAGGAGGGAGGGGTAGGAGGAGGATGGAGAGGGGAGTAGGAGGAGGGGGGGGAGGAGGAGGAGGAGGAGGAGAGGAGGAGGAGAGGAGGAGGAGGAGGAGGAAGGAGTGAGGAGAGGAGGAGGGGAGGATGAGGATGGAGGAAGGAGGAGGAGGAGGATGAGGAGGAGGAAGGAGGAGGAGGAGGGGGAGGCGGACCCGGGGTTTCCCGTCGCTGCTCTCAGGCACGGGCGGCTCGGGACGGGAGATGCCCGAGGTCCGGGGCCTGCTTCCCTTGGGGGCCCGCGTGCTTCACCGATATTTCTCCCCCCTCCCTCCTCCTCTCCTCCTCCTCCTCCTCCTCCTCCCTTCCTCCGCCTCCTCCTCTCCTCCTCCTCCTCCTTCCTCCTCCTCTCCTCCGTCCTCCTCTCCTCCTCCTCCGCCTCCTTCCTCCTCCTCCGCCTCCTCCTCCTCCTCCTCCTCCTCTCCTCCTCTCCTCCTCCTCCTCCTCCTCCTCCTCCACCTCCTCCTCCTCCTCCTATCCTCCTCCTCCTCCTCCTCACTCCTCCTGCCTCCTCCTCCTCCTCCTCCTCCTCCTCCCTCGAGAGTCGAGGACCGATGCTCTGCACGTTTCTGGCCGTGTTTGGGCCCCCTGGGGGGGGCATCCCAAGGGCCCCTGGTGTCGTCTGGCACCCTCCAGAGGTCTCTGGGCACCTCTGGGTGCCTTCGGTGGCTTCCAGAGGCCCCCTGAGAAATCCAGAAACCTCCTGCTCCTCCTCCTCGTCCTCCTCCTCTTCCTCTATCGTCAATCCTCCTCCTCCTCCTGCTTCTTCTTATCCCCATCGCGCCCGCTGATTGCAGTCGTCTGCAGCTTCTCGGCCCGAGCTTGCCCCGCTTCGGCCCCCGCCGCCCCTCCCGCGCCCGCGCGACCAGGGGCGCCGGGAGCCTGCGCCGGCCCCCGCTGCTCAGGTGTCCATCGACTTCTACGCGGCGGCGGCTTTCTTCTCGGACCACGCGTGGGCCGCCGCCCAAGGCGGTGGTCCACTCTCCCCCCTCGAGCGCGGTATTGCACGGGGCCCACTTCCCCGTCAATCCGTTCTCGTGTGGGGCGAGCCCGACTGCGCCGAGCAGCCAGTCGGTGACGGCACGGGGTTGCCTCCCTGTTCGGGTTGGCTCGCGCCACTCCTTCCTGCACGCCGCTTGCCTGCAGGCGGGGCGCTCGCGCGCCCCTCAGGCCACCTGTCCTACAGGCGCCTGTCGCCAACGGCCTCCTGGCCCATGGCGTCCGCAGCTGCACCCCCAGCTTTCCGCGGTACCGACCCGCCGCGCTGGTGCCCCCCGACGGGCCCGCCGCCTCCTCTGCAGCAAAACCTTCCTCCACCTCCCCCTCCTTTCTCCCGCCATTCTTCCCCTTCTTCCTCTGGGGTGGCGGAGTTGGAGACTCATGGGGGGACCGGAGGAAGGAGAGGTGGAGCTTGCACGCCATGTGCTGCGGCACCTGATCAGTCCAATGTCTCACGAGGTGCTCCGGCGCACAGCTCCTACGCCCGCCTCCCGATGGCCCCAGACGGCGCACTGTCTCTGCCTGCCAGTCGTGCCGCCAGCGAAGCCACTGCCGATGAGAGCATCCCTCAGAGCCGCCCGTCAGAGGGCACAGGCGCCAACGGTGCGAAGCCAACCGCGCTATGGGTGGAGGAGCCGGAGTTGGTGGACCCTTCTAACCTCCACCTCCTCGCTACTCCTTCTCCTCCCCTCGCCGCCTCGCCCTGGCTCAACCTTGATGCTTGGCGGAGCAGCCCTCGTGCGGACACCTGTGGCTTCGAGGTCGCTGAAGGCTTCTCCTGTCCCGCGGGGTGGGGCGCCGGCGGCGCTACGACGATTCCGCCCTATCCTGGCTGGGACGCTCCAGCGCGCGAGCCGCCCGACTTGCCTGGGCTGGCGAGCACGGTGCAACGCCCCCGCCCGCCTCCAGGGCTGGATCCTCCACCGCTTTCCATGAGCTTGCAGGCGGACTCGCCGCCTGGCTTCGCTGGGCTGGAGGGCGCCCCGCTCGCGATGGGGCCGTTCCCCACTCTCGCTGACGTGGAGGCTGGTGCTCGCGTGCCCCCGTCAAATTCCATGATCGCCATCGCTCCGACATATGGGGTTCACCTGTCAGGAGGTGCCATCTCGCAGTGGACTTTCATCGAGAAGCACGTTTCGCACCCTCTGGTGCGCACTTCCTTTCTGCCGCCGATGCACGCGTGGGACCCGCACACGGGCTCCGACATGCAGAGCGCGGCTCCGCCACCAGGCTTCGCCGGCTTGGAAGCTGGCGCACGGGTGCCGCCTTTGGTCGACTCCCGCGCGTCCGATGCAGCGGGTGGGGGTCCGTGGCTTAGCGGCGAGCGTCTGCCGTGCACCGGGTCGTCGCCACTGCCGGTTTGGCGCCCCACGGCCGCCGTCGGTGACCGCGCGGCTGGCGGAGCCGCCGTGAGTGCGGAGTCGCCTCCTGTCGGTGGTGGCTCGCCTTCCCACGTCGGGCGGGGTGGGCCGCCGCCGGGCCTCGCCGACCCACAGGCGGGAGTTCATACGCACCCGTCTCTCCACCCTAGCAATGTTCGCCCGGCCTCTTTGACTGCACAACCGAACCTGGAGTCCGCCGCCGTGGCGCCGCCGTCGACGCACGTCTGCGCGACCGCTGCCTTGGTTGGGACTCCGGCGCTTGTCAGCAGTATTCACCTGGTCGCTACGCCAGGCGGTACCTCGACGGCTCGGTGTCACCATTCACCGCCTGGGCTCGTGGCGCTGTCGGGTCCCGAGGCCTGGTGTGCGGGTCTGCCTCTGGACCTCGCCGGTTTGGATGCGGGTGTGCGGATGCCGCCGTCGCGCTATCCACGCTCGGCCGTTGTTGAGGTGGGGGTTCCCATGCTTGGTGCTGGGTCCCACCAGTGGGCCTTCGATTCGGGGCGAACCGTGATCCCGTTCTTGCGGACCCCGCCCTCGCCTCCGGCGCAGCCTCCTGCGCTCGGTGCCACTCGTTCAAGCTTCCGCGACATTTCGCAGACGCTCGGTCTAAGCGGGGGTCCATCCACGCCCCCGATGGGCCCGCCGCGCCACGATGTGGCGGTTGCACTGGAGCCAGGCGCCACCGCTGGTGCATCCTGGGCGGCCCGCGCAGCGGTTGCTCGCGAGTCATCCTCGACGCCCCCCTGCTGCCACGATGGGGGTCGGTGGGCGGGGGGTCGCTTCGAGCGCTTCGGACGCGGATTCTGCTCCCAGACGCGCCACTGGCGGGCCCCCAGCGATGTTCGGGGGACCCCCTGCTGTGCACGCAGTCTCGCTTGCGAGCAGTCCCACCACAGCGAGGGCGCCCTCTGCCATCGGTAGCGTGGTGGACGCGCCAGAAACGCCCGTCCTCAGTGCCTCGACCGAAGCTGCGATCCCCACGCCTCGGGGCGCTTGCACTCGGAACGCAGCGGGCACTCAAGCTGCGGGATCACCTCCAGGCCTCATCGGCCCCGCCGCGGGCTCCTCGGGTGAAGGCGTCGCCGCAGCCGCTGCCATTGCAGCGAGGCCCCGACGCTTCTCGTGCAATCGGATCCAGGGCCCCGTCGCGTCGATCCCTGCCCGCGCTCGCGAGCGCCTGCTGGCCGACCCTCGTGGTCTGAGC